CGAATTGGGCGCTCTCCGAGGCGCGCATGCTGGCGACCGCAGCCTCCAGGTGCCCCGGCACAGCGCCCTCGCCCGCGCGCCACGCCAGGAGCATCCTGGGCGCCGCGGGGTCGGCTTCGGCAGGCCACCGCCCTCTGGCCTGGATGCCAACAAGCACGCTGCAGCCGTCCTCGACGTCGTGCAGAAAGCGCTGCTGTCCCCGGCGCAGCTCAAACTTCCAGATCGCCGGGTCCGCCGGAGCGTCGCCGCCTGGCAGCACCACGGGGGACAGCGGCACGGGCACGGAGTCTCTCCGCTGCCAGCCGTGCAGAGTCACCGCCACCTGAGCAACGAGGGAAGGGGAGGGGCCTCGCGCTCGCGGGGACGTGTGCCATGGCCGCCCTACGCGGTGGCTCACGCCAGCCGCCACCGCGGCACATCGCGCGGTAGAGAGGGCACTCACGCACGATCCCCAGCGGGCGCGAACGCGCGAATGCCCCCGTGTGTCTTCCTGCGTCGAACGCCTCGAACTCGGGCCATCGTGACGTGGCCCACCCTGCGCGGTGGCCCACGCAGGCCGCCACCGCGGCACACCACGCGGCAAAGAGGGCGCTGACGCGGGCAGCTCACGCACGAATGCCCCCGCGCCGCTCACCTGGAACTCGGGCTGGCGTGACCTGGCCCGCGACGCGCGGTGGCCATCGCAGGCCGCCCGGGCGACCGCGCGGCAGAGAGGGCGCTGAGGCAGGCAGCTCACGCGAAAATGCCCCCGTGGTTCTTCCTGCGCCGCACGCCTCGAACTCGGGCCGGTGCGCTGCCGCGCTCGCGTGCTGGAAGGCCAGCCGCAGGGGGCGCTTTCCCCCGGCCACGAGGCCCAGGAACTCCTCATGGGCGGTGCGCGCGAAGGCGGGGAGGCGGAATACTCGGTTTCTTGTCACGACAGCGAGAACTTGTAGAGGCGTATGAGAGGGGGAGGCCAGGGACGGGAAGGGTACTGCAGCATCGCTTATTCATCTTTGGTTTATTCTGGTCCTCCTCCTCCTCCTCCTCCTCCTCCTCTTCCTCCTCCTCCTCCTCCTACCGGCGCCGCCAGGAAGATGATAAGACCACGAAAGATGGGCCGCCTAAATTCAGCACGGGCCAATGAAGAAGCGTCGGCAAGCCTGAATCCCTACGAACTCGAGCCTTACGTTTCCCCAAACTCAGGCGGGCACGCGAGGGGGGCGGCCCTCTGATGGGGAGCCTACGACAGACACGTGCTCCTAGCCACGAACATGAATACGCACGGCCGCCCAGTCCGCGAGGCCAGCCCACAAAAGACGCACGCGCCCAGTCACGCACAATGAATGCGCACGGCCCCCCGGTCCGGGAGGCCAGCCCAGAAAAGACGCACGCGCCCAGCCACGTACAATGAGTACGCACGGCCCCACAGTCCAGGAATCCAGCCCGCAAAAGACGCACGCGCCCAGCCACGTACATGAAATCGCACGGCCCCCCAGTCCGCGATGCCAGCCCAGAAAAGACGCACGCGCCCAGCCACGTACAATGAACACGCACAGCCCCAGAGTCCACGAGTTCAGCCCGCAAAAGACGCACTCGCTCAGCCACGCACGTGAATACGCACGGCCCCCCACTCCGCGATGCCAGCCCACAGAAGACGCACGCGCTCAGCCACGCACAATGAATACGCACGGCCCCACTGTCCACGAGTCCAGCTCATGGCGCACAGCCATGAACAATGAATACGCCATGAACAATGCATCCGCGATGCCAGCCCACAAAAGACGCACGCGCTCAGCCACGCACAATGAATACGCACGGCCCCGCTGTCCACGAGTCCAGCCTCGTGCCACGAAAGCTCGCCCGATGCAAACTACAGGGGCCCACGACAGATAACGCACACGTGCGTCACTATTCTTCGCTCCCCCTCGGAAGGGGCCCAGAGCTTGCCGAGAAGGCATCTCGAAGCCTCGGGCCCTCCCTTCCGCTGCCTCCCCCAGACACTCGACGATGTGACTTGTTCTGCGCGCGCCGCCAAGGGGCCCCCGTCGCGATGTTTACTCACGACGCGAAAGATTCTGGGAAGCTCACCGCTGCCACAATACACGCTATATGGCCCTAAGGCCCGACAACGGTCTCAAGAGACCGAAATCAAAGAAGGCGCCCAGGCTGAAAAACTAAAACAGCATCAACACGACAACAACAACAACAACAACAACAACAACAACAACAACAACAACAACAACAACAACGACAACACGACAACACGACAACAACAACAACAACAACAACAACAACAACAACAACAACAACAACAACAACAACAACAACAACAACAACAATAACAACAACAACCACCACAACAACAACAACAACAATCATGTTAAGACGGTTCGCCCTTATCTGCTCGAGTGTCCAATAACGGCTATTTCCCAAACCCTCGATACCCGCCTCTTCGTCTTCGATCGAACCCCTTTTGGGGGGTATACCTTTCTTCCATGCAGGCCGGGCCCCCGCAAGCGGCGGGGCGGCCGCGGACCGTCGGCCTGGCCAGCGGCAGCGCTGATCGGCGGGGCGGCCGCGGACCGTCGACCCGACCCCAAGAGGGACGGACAGGGGACCGACCACGACGACGACGACAACGACGACGTCGACGACGACGGCGACGACGACGACGACGGCGACGACGAGCGAAAGCGAGAGCGAAAGAGAACGACAGCAGGGCCACAAGGACACGAAATAGGCCACAAAGGGCAACAGCGGGGACACGAAAAGAGTGCGTATGGGGCCACGAAGAGCGCGAACGAGCGGGGGCCACGAAGGGCTGATAATGCGGGGCCACAGAAGGCAACGATGGGGCCACTGAGGGTAGCAACTGGGCCACGTAGGACAGATGCATATGGGGCCACGACGGGCGCGAACGAACGGGGGCCACGAAGGGCATACAGATCTGGGGCCACGAAGGGCAGCGAGGGGGCCACGAAGGGATGCAACGGGGCCACGAATGGCAGCGAGGGGGCCACGAAGGGCTGCAACGGGGCCACGAAGGGCTGCAACGGGGCCACGAAACAAAACGAGGGGGCCACGAAGGGCTGCAACGGGGCCACGAAACAAAACGAGGGGGCCACGCAGGACTGCAACGGGGCCACGAAGGGCAGCGAGGGGGCCACGAAAGGCTGCAACGGGGCCACGAAGGGCAGCGAGGGGGCCACGAAGGGCTGCAACGAGGCCACGAAACAAAGCGAGGGGGCCACGAAGGGCTGCAACGAAACCACGAAGGGCAGCGAGATCCCCATTCCTATGTAATCTGCGAAGGCGTCCTCAGCGTGAGCGCGACTCCTGGGTGCCTCGGTGCCGGGAGCGCGGCGACTCCTGGGTGCCTCGGTGTCGGGAGCGCGGCGCTTGAGTAAAGTAGATGAAATTCCAACGCAAGGGCGCTATTCTTCAGTAAATTGCAAGCAAGTATCTAGCGAGAGCGCGACTCCAGAGCGCCGGGATAATAAATTATAAGGAATTCCCACGCGAAAACGCGATTCCAAAATCAAACGCGAGGAAACCTCGGGCGGGAGCGGGGAACCTGGCTAAATTGTGAGGAGGTCTCAAGCGGGAGCCGCTGCTGTTGTAAACCAGGGGCCAACGACACAGCTTGACCCTCAAGATTCTCCTTGGTAAAAGGCAGGGCACGAGCCCCGGGAAGTGCACTTCAATCGAAAAAACAATGCGCACCGGACGGGGGGGATCAACAAAAACTATTCTTCAGAAATGAGAGTTCAACCACGACAACAACAATAATTTTAAGAATGTTCGCTCTTATGTGCTCGCGCGTCATGCAATATGCAAATCCCAAACCCTGGACACCCGCCCTCTTCGTCTTCGATCGCACCCCCTCTTGGGGGGGTATATTCATTCCCTGCCGCGCGTGGTTGGCGAAACCCTTGAAAACGAAGGGTAACAGATAACGGGGGAGAATGAGGACGAAGGGATGGGAGGAAGGGAAGGGAGGGGCAAGAAGGAAGGAGGAATATGATTGGCGCTGCAAATGGCGATTCAGCTTGCGCCATGGCTTGCGCCAGCCACTCCAACACAGGTTAGCAATAAGTTTCGCCATGGGTCGCGCCATAAACAGCGCCACGCACCACCCCCGTGAAAGAACAGATCGTGGATACCCCCACGGGGGGACGTACAGCTGCGAACTGGTGTCAGAAACAAATTTCGTGGAACCTTGAAAAGAATCGGGATGTTGGGGGCGGGGCGGAAGGATAATGAGAATTGCAACCGTGTCGAGAGGGGCGCGGGGATGCGGAGTGGATTGGGATGGAATGGACAAGAGTAGGGTCTCAGTAAATCAGGTGGGAGCCGTCGCTGGCGCTGGCCACGACGGGCGCGAACGAGCGGGGGCCCCGAAGGCCATGCGTCTAGGGGGCCGCAGAGGGCAGCGACGGAGCCGCTGAGGGCAGAAACGGTGCCACGAAGGGCAGAGAGGGGGCCACGAAAAGCGACAGCGGGGCCACGAAGGGCATGCACATGGGGCCACGACGGGCGCGAACGAGCGAGGGCCACGAAGGGCATGCATATATGGGGCCAGAAAAGGCGACAGCGGGGCCACTGAGCGCAGAAAGTGGGTCACGAAGGGCAGCGAGGGGGCCCGCGAATGGCGACGGCGGGGCGACGAAACGCACGCGCATGGGACCGCGAAGGGCGCGAGCGAACGGGGGCCACGAAGGGCAAGTAATTCGAAGCCACAGAGGGCAGCGACGGGGCCGCTCAGGGCAGAAACGGGGCCACGAAGGGCAGAGAGGGGGCCGCGAAGGGCGACAGCGGGGCCACGGAGGGCGCGCACATGGGGCCACGACGGGCGCGAACGAGCGGGAGCCACGAAGGGAATTCGCATATGGGGCCACAAAGGGCGACAGCGGGGCCACTGAGGGCAGCAAAGGGGCCACGAAGGGCAGCGAGAGGGCCACGAAGGGCGACAGCGGGGCCACGAAGGGCATGCACATGGGGCCACGACGGGCGACTGC